CCCTGCCGGGAGCCTCGCTGCTTACCCCAACCCTGCCAGCACCGGACCGGCTGGAGGCGAGGGGGGGAGCAGGCGGAGTCAGCACTGGTGTGGGGGAGCCCAGGGCTGGGGCGGCAGGGGGTGTGGGTGGGGTGGGGTTGGGGGAGAGCCCAGCGCTGGGGTAGTAGGGGGTGCGGGTGGGGGCGGAAGAGAGAGCCCAAGGCTGGGGCAGCAGGGGGTGTGGGTGCGGGGGGGACGAAGAGAGAGACCAGGATTAGGGCGGCAGGGGGTGCAGGTGGGGGAGGGCACTGGTGGGGGGGAAGGTAAGAGCCCAGGGTTGGGGTGGGGGGCAGCCAAAAATTTTTTTGCTTGGGGCGGCAAAAAACCTAGGGCCAGCCCTGGGTCCCACATTTCCACAGGTCCTTAAATCAGTGGTCCGATCTGTGGAAATTAGTTGCACAATTCCCACTGGGATTTGCACAACACATTTTAAGCCAAGTGCATTGAATTGTGAACATATCCCAGTAAGGATGTGTGATAGACTTACAAAAGCAAGAAACAAGATGGTGAGATAATATCTAGAAGTTGGTCCAGTAAAGGATATTACCTCACCCACCTTGTCTGTCCACTATCCTGGGATCAATATAGCTACAACACTGCATACCACAAAAGCAAGGTAATTGTTGTCACCACAAAAACTGTCTTATCATCAGGGGATACGATTAAATAAATACCTCTTGATCAGTGGTTTTCAACCTGTGGTCTGCAGCCCCCTGTGGGTCCACAGACTATGTCTAAGATTTCCAAAGGGGTCCGAACCTCCATATGAAATTTGTTAGTGGTCTGCAAATGAAAAAAGGTTGAAAACCACTGCTCTAGATAAAGGATCATGTGTTTGTAGCATAAGGCACAGAAGTGAGAAATTGGTGCAACAGCAAACTTCATTCAGAATTTCCTTGCTTCTGAAGACTAATTTCTGACCTTTAAAGTTATTTTAATGCACCTTTCTTCTACTGTTTGTGGTTTTCTATTGTTTTTCCCCCATTTGCTTTTTTTTTTACAATAATAATTAATTGAATGGGATCAGCAGCATGCCACAATAAATTGTTCCAATTTAAAAACACCTTAATTCTGTGTATAAAGTGTATAATTTTATTATGAAGTTAGTTGCTTTGAACAGAAACTAATTATGTATTGCACATTTCCAGTAACTGAAAATTGTATATTTTAGACATTTGAATATATTTGTTTCAACCATTCTACATTGATCACATGCTCCAAATTTGTTTGAACAAATTAAGCCTACTTTTGTTCCACCAATTGTATTAATGCATTTGATACCTCAACAATTTAATATTTTGCTATTTCATCATCAAAAGCAGGTTAAGAAATTTCTAGGGCTGTCAAGCAATTAAAAAATGTAATCACGATTAATCGTGATTAAAAAAGAATCTCAATTAATCGTGCTGTTAAACAATAATATAATACCATTTATTTAAATATTTGAATGTTTTCTACATTTTCTAATATATTGATTTCAATTAAAACACATTATAAATTACAATTTATATTTATTTTTATTACAAATATTTGCACTGTAAAAAACAAAAGAAATAGTATTTTTCAATTCACCTAATACAAGTACTGTAGTGCAATCTCTTTATCATGAAAGTTAAACTTACAAATGTAGAATTAGGTACAAAAAATAACTATATTCAAAAATAAAACAATTTAAAACTATAGAGCCTACAAGTCCACTCAGTCCTACTTCAGCCAATCACTCTGACAAACAAGTTTGGTTACAATTTGCAGGATATGAAGCTGCCCACTTTTTGTTTACAATGTCACCCATAGGCACCAACTTTGCCTGGCGCCGGTGGGTGCTCGCGCCCCCGCACTCCTAGCCCCGCTCTGACTCCATCCTTTCTCCACCCCTGTCCTGCCCCCATTCCAATCCCTTTCCCAAAGTCCCCACCCCAACTCTGCCCCTCCCTGCCCCTATTAGACCCCTTCCCCAAATTCCCACCCCAGCCCCGCCTCTTCCACAAGCACTCTGCATTCCCCCTCCTCCCCCTTCCTCCCAGCACTTGCAACCACAAAACAGCTGTTTCACAGCGCAAGCACTGGGAGCTAAGGGGAAAAAGTGGGCACGCAGTGCGCTCAGGGGAGGAGGCGGAGGTGAGCTGGAGTGGGGAGCTGATAGTGGGTGCAGAGCACCCACCAATTTTTCCCCATGGGTGCTCCAGCCCCAAAGCACCCACAGAGTCGGCGCCTGTGATGTCACCTGAAAGTGAGAACAAGTGTTCGCATGGCACTGTTGTAGCCGGCGTCGCAAGATGCACCAAAGATTCATATGTTCCTTCATGCTTCAACCACCATTCCAGAGGACATGCGTCCATGCTGATGATGGATTCTGCTCGATAACGATCCAAAGCAGTGCGGACCGATGCATGTTCATTTTCATCATCTGAGTCAGATGCCACCAGCAGAAGGTTGATTTTCTTTTTTGATGGTTCAGGTTCTGTAGTTTCCGCATCGAAGTTCTGAAAGCATGCTCCACACCTCGTTCCTCTCAGATTTTGGAAGGCACTTCAGATTCTTAAACCTTGGGTCGAGTGTCTTAGCTATTTTTAGAAATCTCACATTAGTACCTTCTTTGCATTTTGTCAAATCTGCTGTGAAAGTGTTCTTAAAACGAACATGTGCTGGGTCATCATCTGAGACGGCTAACACATGAAATATATGGCAGAATGTGGGTAAAACAGAACAGGACAATTCTCCCCTAAGGAGTTCAGGCACAAATTAAATTAATGCATTCTTTTTTTAACGAGTATCATCGGCATGGAAGCATGTCCTCTGGAATGGTGGCCGAAGCATGAAGGGGCATATGAATGTTTAGCATATCTGGCACGTAAATACCTTGCAACACCGGTTACAAAAGTGCCATGCGAACACCTGTTCTCACTTTCAGGTGACATTGTAAATAAGAAGCAGGCAGCAGTATCTCCCGTAAATGTAAACAAACTTGTTTGTCTTAGCAATAGGCAGTAGGACTGAATGGCCTTGTAGACTCTAAGGCAGTGGTTCTCAAACTGTGGGTCGGGACTCCAAAATGGGTCACAACCCCATTTTAATGGGGACACCTGGGCTGGCATTAGATTTGTTGGGGCTTGGGCTTTGGTCCTCCCACTTGGGTGGCAGGGCTTGGGCAGGCTCAGGCTTTGGTCCCGTCTCCTGGGATCATGTAGTAATTTTTGTTGTCAGAAGGGGGTCACGGTGCAACAAAGTTTGAGAACCACTGCTCTAAAGTTTTACATTGTTTTGTTTCTGAGTGCAGTTATGTAACAAAAAATCTACATTTGTAAGTTACTTTCATGATAAAGAGATTGCACTACAGTAGTTGTATGAGGTAAATTGAAAAATACTATTTCTTTTGTTTATCATTTTTACAGTGCAAATATTTGTAATAAGAAATAATAATATCAAGTGTGCACTGTACACTTTGTATTCTGTGTTGCAATAGAAATCAATATATTTGAAAATGTTCAGAAACA